GCTGGACCCACGCCCATTGCCCGTCTTGACGAATGGTCGTCCATTTTGCTCAGTAATGTTTGGTACTGGGCGTGGAGCACTACCCTCATATGCGTAGTGCCCTAACTTCTGACAGCGATTGCACTTCTGCAATCGCTTGTTGTTTGAAGAGCGAAGTCTCTCGCTCTCAACATAGCAGAGGTCCATGGGTTCTGGACCTCCGATCTCTTGTCGTCTCGGTGGACGGTAAGAGTTTGAGCTAGCATGAGCCTGTCTCAGGCTTAAGTCTTCCTGTTCCGCGGCTGATATCGCATCTTCCAGCGTATTCAGCTCTCAAGGCGGAACAGGTGGCTCCTGACGGGCCCTTCTGCGAGCCCTTGCATGAATACCGTAATCAACGTGTGTTCATGAACTGGGTTAGCAGTTGTACTACTCGCAAGGATTCGTATATGTTGGGCGTAATCGTGAACATCACGCTTACCCTGCTTGAGTTTCAGTAGCTCTCAACGAGCTCTGAACTCAGCACGTGGCGGCTCAAACGTTTGTCTGAGCCGGGACTTGAAGTCATCTAGCAACCTAAACATATGTGGGTGCTACTCTCGAGTCCCAGGGACCAAGTTTTGGCACGCCCTGCCAAGTGGGTCTGAGCAAATGTGAGTTTCATTAGCTCATCTTCGACGCGACGAGCCCTTAAGGCTCTGTCGAGTTCGACAAAGTACAGTAACAGGGAGTCTTCCGGGACTCCACTGTATTTGGAGATGTCAACTTTCATGACTTCGGGATGACGCGCATGTGCCGTCCCGCCCACAGCAGCATGGAATTACTGCTGTCTCAACAGCTCTGTCTGTTGAGAACCGAGTTCTCTCAACTGCTCGGCCTATTGAGAGCCTTGCTGGTGAAGCAAGGCTACTTTCCTTTCTTTCGGCGACAAGTTCATTTTATATGAACTTGGCTATAGCGGCATGTTGTTGGTCTCTGTCTAGAGACTCCAACATGGCGCTAATGGCGAACTCGCCTACGGTAGAACTCATTCGTTCTACCGCACCCCATTCGATGTCGCTCGAATGGTTAAACCCTTCACGCGTGGCGTGAAAAGTCTCTTCATCATCCAACATGTTCATGTTGGATACTGTGGTCCTTGGAAGGACTACAAAGTGCTACCAGGTGTAACGGGGCACACCCTTGCGTGAACTTAACGCAAGGGTTTTGGTGCCCCGACAGACGTACACAAGGCAAGCGAGGAAGCGTAGATAAGGGAAAAGTAAAACTGTTGTGTTAATATAAGTAAGTCTTATGTTACTGTCTCTCTGTTTAACCTGACTTTATTATGTTAATCTAACTGAGTGTATGGTGACGTCTCGTCACCACTCATTGCGCGCGTCCTGCGGCGATTGGTGGGTTGATATCGTCAAGATATCAACCAATGAGCAGACCCTTTGGCCGACCCTTCAATATCACCACTTTGGTGATATTGTTCAAAGAATATTCAAGTTAATATTCTTTATTGTCATTGTTTCTTTAAAGTGACAATTCCATGTAATGGGCTGCCCCGTTACACCTTACACTTGATTCCGTCGCTAGTGCTAAATCGTCGCATATATAGCCCCATCGATTGACCAGCGTTGGTCATCACCGATTCTTCTTCAGACATCTCGCCAGGCTCATCCATTGTTGCTTCTTCTACGGCCAGATCACTAGTGTCACCAGATTCATTTATATTTCTGTGGGCAGAGTCGGATGTATCACGATCATCGACTGGTACTGTACAACCACTGTCTTGTGCATCCGTGTCTCTTGCATCGGTTTATATGTGGCTCATGCTTTCTGCGTCTTCAACAATGCTTTCCAGTTCTTTGTCACTTATAACGTATTGGCTATCCTTAATGCTTGCTTCGACATCGCTGTCGTTTTCCGTGGGTGTGTATTTGGTGGTGTGGCGGTCGTGATAAAAACTTTCCAATAACGCGAATGTCAGGTACAAATTTCCGCGTACGTTCATCTGGAAAGTAGATCCTGCAACCCAATACATCTTCCACATCCCCCAAACTTTATCCGAGTTTTGACATGACAGTTGAGGTTGTGACGCCGTGCGTCGACTTGATCGTGCAATTACACCAAATAACCAAATTTGCGAAGACGACGAATGTCTGTCCACTATCCAAACATCTATTCATACGGTGTGCTATTACACCCTCGAGTAAATGTCCGGTTCCTGATACAAACTGAGCATTGGAACGCATCAGTCCAAAACAGACGGGGCATTCCTATGTGCTCCAACGTTGCGCACGTCATCTATCAATGTTCTGTGCACACGTTTGCAGGGGTTCTGTTACGAATTGACAGGTCCAACCTATACGTGCTCGATGCCTCTATCTTTCAATCATAGTTTATACTGTGCACTGGCGAATTTTTAGCCTTTATTCGTTATCAACTGGCGAACCAGAAAATCGATCGTCTTTCCGTCAAGATATTTGGTTGCATGGCGAACAAATTTTCGTTCAGCCCAAGCAAAGTACTGTGTCAGCGATGCGGACACTGCATGTAATGCTTTTATTCGCAGCACATACGTAACAACAAACATGCTGTATGCATCCATGATCACTAATACTGCACCAATGTGCATGTCACTATTAACGCGTGACATCAGCAAATCTGCATATACGAGCTGGTTGAGCTGCACAATTTGTCTGTTCAGCTTCTTGAAAAGCTTACTACTTGCTTTGTCAATTGTCACATCTCGCAATCACGTACACCATGTACCGATAGCATCATTCCGTCAACACGCTTTCGATCCACCATATTTTAATGTACTGAGGGCATATATGGACGAAACTCTTCTGCCATGATTGCAAATCGGCAACACCGTCTCGATCCGTATGGTTTATCGTGCGTGTTTCTGAGTTTGATTTGTTCTTGTCACCTACTGGAACTTGTCCCTCGAATATCCATACTGCTCCGACTTTGTCATCTTGAGCCAACGACACATTACTTTTCAGAGTAGTGAAGCGGTACGCATTGTAGTCCTACTCTCTGACTTGAATTTATCGTCAGGCGCACTCTTCATCGATAAAAGCAAATTACTTATGCCAGAAACGAGTAGCACGTCGTCGATCACAGTATGCACTGTCTTTCCAGCGACAGACGTCTCGGGTAAGATCGTTCTCACTCCGAATGGCTGCTCCGTAAAGCTGGGTGCAATTCCACGCACAGTTGATTCGTAGCTCGAAAGCTTTCGATCGCGAATAAAGTACCGCTTGTATTCGACCACATGTGTGTTTGAAATTCAGTGTCAATATACCACTTCTACATCCCAAAAGCATTGACCACTTGCTCATCGTCATTTAGAGCTTCGTCCACGTAATTCCATGGTTGACACGTCTTGATCTGCTTTAGATGTCGCAATCACGTCACGCTGCCTGAAGCTCGTTGTCATAATCCGCTTGCATTCCCGGCGAGCGACACTTTTAAAGTGTCCATTTTGGACCTTTACTACCTTTGTCATGTATTCACGATCTGAATAATCCCTCTACAGATGCTCACTAGTGCCGAATAAGTAACACCTCTTCTTGTTGTCGTTCGTCTTTAAGTTTCCATTGTACACATCAGTATTGAATCCTTTGCTATCCATAATATGAATTGTTTTCTTGTCGCGTTGACGGTCCACGTCTTTCCATTTTACGCCCATACCCATAAAAGCACCGTTACCAAAATCGCCTATAGTCTCTTCATGAGGAGCGGTGGCTGTGCGAACGAGTTCGCAAATTTTATCCGGACTGCAACCTGCTGAGTCACTTGTAAACCCTACAGTCTGCCTGAAACGGGGCACGCTCTTGCTCAGATAACTGAGCAAGACCTTGTACTGATAACAATACAAGGTTGCGTACTCTCGACGTCACGCACACGTGGCGTTGAGGAAGTACGAGGAAGTAAACAGAACTCGCAAGCTCTGTTTAAGGTGTAAGTAGAACTGTATTTGATATAGTTAATAAAATTACCTTTGTCTTAATCTAACTATGTTATACTACAAGTCCCTATGTTGGTTTCTTGCTCACCACCCATTGCGCGCGTCTAGCAGCAATTGGTGGTTAGTCTGGTTGATCTATTGTGTAAATCAGTCAGCCAGTGGAGCACCCCAAGAATGTTGTCCCTGAAGGCAACATTCAATCAACATCACCTCTTCTTGAGTGATGTTGATTGAATATTATCAAAAATGATAATATTCAAAAATTGGAACATTAGTACCGATTTCATGTAACGGGCTCACCCCATTACAGGTGGTCCGGAGGTCGAAGATGCACAAGGCGAAGTGTATAGCGTTATGCATGGCGGTATGGCAGTCGCCGCCAGTTTCTATATAGGTGACGAAATTGCAACGGACCTAAGGCCGCGCGGCACAGGCGTGCCATGAGGCGCGTGTCCAACATGCTAGCTACTAGAGATGTTGCGCTATGTGCAATCCGCTACAGCGTGCTGCGCAAACGATATCTTGCCATCAGATGTCTTTATGCCGCTCGTATGATAACTGGCTGATATGATGGCGGTTGATATGCGCTTTTCGTCGGCATAGAGACCTCACAAGCGCAACGTGGCATTACGGTGAATTTGTCTGTGATTGCAATCTGTGTCCACTTGTTGATCCCACTCACAATCCGACGAGCAACTGCGTCCATAAACAAACGACAGCAGCAAAAAAAGGCTCGCTATAATGAGACATGTGTTATTTTGGGATCGCTATGTCGCTATCCGTGCGCACACCAAAATAAACCAATTCCACACCAAATATACATAAACAAGTCAAACATTGGGTGGCGCAAAACTCGACTGTTCCGTCAACGAGCTGTCTGTCTCGAGCTGCGGCGCGCTTCCCACGTACGTGACGACCACCATGCGATGCTCTTCTTCTTCTTCCTCCCTCTCTCCTCTTTGTAAATCAGTTTGTTTTGCTGTCGAATGTATTTATCTCTTGTTTACAGCAGAGCACACGATACTGTTTTCGGCATTCGTTTTCTTTCGTTTCTAGAATGGACATCGCCGAGTTTGAACGCGCTGTTATTACTGCGTTTCAGTATGCTGCATACAGCAGTACGAGTCCGCAGTCACGGACGCTCAAGTTACAGGCTGAAAGCTATTGTGCTGCCGTGAAGAGCCAAGCGAACGGCTGGCAGGCCGAACTTCAGCTCTTTGAGCACTCAGAGCACGAGCAAGTCAAGTTCTATGCGCTCCAGGCACTACAAGAATCGTTGGTCAATGGAGTCGATGACGTCGTGGCTGTGGATGTGCGGAGCAAGCTGTTGCTTTGGCTGCAGAATCACGTGGCTTACGTGGAGAGCAAAGCACCGTATCTCAAGACAAAGCTGGCCATCGTTATCACGCTACTTATCAAAAGAGATTACCCGGAACGATGGGCAACAGCTTTCACAGAGCTGCTTGCTTTGCTGCCGCAGGGCGCATCAATGGTTGAGATGTACTTTCGCATCTTGTTGGCAATAAACGAGGAGATTGTCGAGTTCGAACCTCAAAGAACGCAGCAAGATGCTGCTCATAATATGAAGATCAAAGACGCCATGCGTGAAGGACCGTGCATGCGGGAAAGCTTTGACGTTATCTCGCGTGTGTTGGTGAATGCTGACGCGAGTAAAACCATGTGTGAGCTGAGTGCCAGTGCGCTCGAAACGCTCAAAAGCTACATCAGCTGGGTTGATATCGGTCTTGTGGTAAATGACACGCTCTGGCCACTGTTGGTCAAGTTGCTGCGTGAAAGTGAAGAATTACGCTGCCAAGCAGCCAACTGTGTGTTCGAGGTCATTGACAAAGGGATGACACCGGAGAAGAAACTTGCGATGCTGCAGCAATTACAAATATTGGAAATGCTGGCGGCACTGCCTATTCGTGAGGATGACGAGTTTGCAGAGGAGATAGGTGAGGTCATTAACGCAGTTGGTGTGGAGCTCTTGACGTGCATTGACGCCTTCCGCCATACGTGTCAGCCTGAGTTACTGCAGGCAGCCGGCAACATGCTTCGACTATTGATGCCGCTCGTATGGGAGCTTTTTGCGCATGAGTCAAAGGATGTGTCGGAAGAAGTCTTTGAGATTGTGAACGCGATTGGTGGTCCGATGCTTCGCACTGAGACGCAGGCGGCTGGCAAGCTCCAGATTGAGGCAGAAGTGTTCCGACCCTCAGAATACATCCCGCAGATTCTGAATGGTATTTACCGACAAACCCGGTTCCATGAAGACTCGGATTCGGATGCCGCAGAGTTTGAAGAGTACCGACGCAGTTTGTACACCATTTTTCTCAACATTGTGCGCCAGCGACCGCATGATACGCTTGCCTTTCTGACAAACCTGGCCCAAGGTCTGCCTGGACACTTTGGTGAGATCGATCCGCGGGATCTGGAGAGCTTCCTGTCGCTTGTGTATCGATTTAAGGAAGGAATCACACCTTTGAAAGGCTTGGCCGCCTCATTTAACGAACCAACGAGTCCTCTATCTATCATGATCGTACAGATTCATCGGAGTATGCTGTCAGCATCCGCTGGTGCTATACCACTGCATCCGTCTGTATTGCTTTCGTATTATGATATAGCTGTACGGTACAGCAAAGTGCTGCAGGTTGAATCAGTACTCACACCGGCAGTACTCGACATGATGTTTGGCTCATTTGGACTTTCTCATCCGGCTGCTCGGGTTCGCTCTCGAGTATGCTATCTATGCCTGCGCCTTGTAAAGGCACTCGGTGCCTCGGTCAATCCTCACGCATCCAGTATTTTGACCGCGCTGCAGCCGTGCCTTGCGATTGTCAATGAGCGTGATGGTAACAATAGCCAGCACACGTCAACGTACCTGACTCACGATGACCAGCTGTACCTCTTCGAACTTGCCGGTCAAATTATCGCTTCACTTGTGGTACCCGCACAGGAGACGGGTATGGACGCCAAGCAGCTTCGATATCGGTACACGATCGCTGTGCTGGACCCACTGCTGCATGGATTGGATATAACGCTGCAAGAGGTGACACAAGGCACGTTGACTGACGAAGAGTTAGCTAGTGAACACTGCGCCGTTTATCTTAACGCAATTGCTCACGTGCTTAAGGCGTTCAAAGGTACTGAGTGCATAGAAAATCAGCAGGAAACGTTTACACAAGTGCTCACAGCTTCGGCTTGCGTGCTACGCGCGCTCGCCCACATCCCACGTGTGCGCTCCAAGGTGATTTTCATGCTGCACCGACTGGCTTCTGTGCTGGACCGTGAACATTTTCTGGGCAACGTAGAAGAGCATTTGCAAACGCTTATGATGAGCTGTGAGCAGGCCGAAGTTGTTGAGATTGTGCAGCTTCTTGACCAACTTATTATCAAGTACAAGCAGGCTCTAGGCGGATTTCTTGACAAAACGACGCTGCCATTTGTGCGGCACTTGTGCGCTTTGATGCCGCAACGAAGCGCTCTGGCGAATGCTGAGACCAAGGATGCTCCGCAGCTCGAGCGCGAAGCCACGCAGAAATACTTGTACACATTCTTGCTGCATCTGGTCACGCACGGCCTAGACGCCGTGTTGATCAGCGCACAAAACGTTGCCCAGCTGGACAACATGTTGTGTCTCGTACTGGAGGGTTGCGCAGAGGTACAGGACGCCAACATCAATCGTGCATGCTTTTCGATTGGAAGCATGTTGGCTGAACGCTGGATCAGCAATGGGAATGCTCTTTCTCCGGCAAGTGAAGCGTCGGGTGCAGCAACTGTAGCCACGTCGGCGGCATCGGTGGCTCTGCGTGCTGAACTCCACGCCGAGCTGTCGGCCGAAGGAAGGGCTCGGTTCACGCAGATTGTAGTGCAGGACTTCACTCGAGCCATGTTTACCGTAACGAAGCTGCGTCACTTTGACGTGGACGAAATGCAGACGATGCTGGCTGTCAAAGAGATTGTGAACATGCAGGCCGTGCTGGTGGTCTCTCTAGGGATCGAGTACTTGACGTACCTGCGTGACATATTCCTGCCATCCATCGGCTGTCCTACTGAGCTAGCCGGGACGTACACGGAGCAGGTTGCCACTGGAGACCGCAAGAAAATCCAAGCAGCGTACAAAGCTTTGGTAAGCCGGATGAAGTAGCAGATAGCCAGCAAGAAGGCCACGCGAGAAAGAGACGTCAAGGTGAGCACAAAGGGCTCTGACGTACAGTGGCGGGAACTAGAGGCCCTTTGATTGCACGCTTTCCCACACGAAACGTACATCGTTTGTCAACGGTCTATGATAATCGAGTGGATGCAGCATGGATGAAAGAGACCAGAATTACGTGACACCTTTTACGCTCCATCTGATCGTGTACGGACCATGCTTCGGAGGCCTTTGCGCTATCAAGAACTATACAGAGGCTTTTATCATTTTGGTCGATGGATCTAGCCCATTCGTTGTGTGCGCTTTCGAGGAGGCGGACCACAAAAGACATCACCTCAGCGAACACTACATTGGGCTGAGTCTATTTTGTCTGACAACAACACACGCACGGATGAAGCGGCTGATGCGATTAGTGCCTACCGGGCTGGATAACATGTGGCAAGTGAATGAACCAAATTCGACAACACGTTCCAAATGTCGAGGTATAGGAACGACTCGAAGTCGCAAATGACGCCGTGCTCGACCGGATGCATAGCATACTAATTATCTTCAAGGAGAATCGTTGACCGCGGTAGTTTTGCGGTATGTTAAACGGGACTGTGTTTTACGTCGCTGATCAGTTTCCTTACGAACAGGCAAAGTAAAATGTCGAATAACGCCCGAGTCATATTCACAGGCACGCGCATGCATTTTTGTAACGGTTGTGCTACAAGTCTAAGCTTCACCCATATGACGCTATGATTACCAGAGCTGGTATAATTGGCAAACTGCAAGATCTTGTATCTCTGCAGCTTACTCGTCTCATATTTCGAGTACTTTGCCACAAAATAGAAGCGTATCCAGTTGTAGCAGTTGCCAGACTTCTGTACGTCCATTTAAGTAGACAATTCACAGCACTTCCCACCATTGCTCAAGAAGGAAAGGCGAAGACAAAAGCAAGTCCAATGCTGATACCAGAAAACGCAACTCTGCGCCTCATGAGGCCAAGATTCTATTACAAAGCTCGTGGTGTTTTTGCTTAAACTCACCACTGAATCGATATGTGAAAGCCTTCTGTCCACATAAGGACTACAAACGTCGCGCATTGCCTCCACATCGCGGTCGTGGATGACACCATAGCGGCGAGCAGTCTCCTGGGCATGATTCGTTCACTGTCGCATAATCCGTGATCTGCTTTTTAGCATGTGTAGCAATCGCCTTCGCGATGTCGCTGAGTTTAAATGGGAGTTAAAACGGTGTGGCAAAATGTCGGTTTACAATGCTGTTTAACATGATTCGAAGAATCGCTTGCTATCACACCAGAATTGCTGATAGTCGCATTGTAGAGTTAATGTATCATTTGGCAAAGGAACGGGCGTGTCAACGCTTATTATACTGTAAATAGAGGGCTCAATGATACGAAAAGACATATCTGACTAGCAATGAATCTCCCGGGAACGCTTTCTCAATAATTTGCTAAACGTTTCAATAGATGTCAGGATAAATTTCAATATTCTCGCAAGCGTGGAACAGCACTTTTATACTTATACACAGCGATGTATGCAAATCATAATTGCTGCGGTTGTTTTTATTTTTATTATTTGGTACTTTGCTGCATTTCTAGCATCTTGTGAATGATTGATAATTTCCTTGAAAACATTGCTTTTTACACGTATGCTCAATACTTGTTGCACGAAGTTTGGTGTGCACATCAGAGCTGCAACTGTTTTTTTCCGATTCTCGGTGGATTACATATATGCTTAATTGCTGGCGCATCTTTTTCTGCTCTCCCTTTGTGTGGCATTTTTTATCTCATGGCGCATCTTTTATTATTTCATTTTTCTTGCATCTTCTAGGAGTACATCAAGAGACAGCTTAAAGAGCGAATAAATTAGCTGAAACGTGGTACGAGACGCCACCGGGAAGTCAAATATAAATATGAGGCGTGAGTCGTGATAATGGAATTGATCAGAGAGCTACCAGACACGTCATATAAACGGATGTATCATCACGAGTGTTATACGGCAAATACCATTATGCAGCTACTTCTGGCACTCGTCGCTTCTACCGACTTTATCAGGTATAAGCATGAAAAAATACTATGGACTCATTCTAGCTGAACGCACTACTTGTCTAAACTGGTAGGAAAACGAAGCGGCTAGTTATAAAAATATGCACTATACTTTTACGACAGATGCCTCGTTCCGACACGTGTACGAATTTCATTCTTGCGCAGTCAAGACTACATGACGACAACAAATAGCTGCTAATGCCGCCAACACATTGGTGCAAAGTTGTACCTTTTTTGGCACACGTGGGTACCCTTTACAAAGGCATTCGCAGTTTCGCAGTGCTTTGTAGCACGATTGCAAGGGTACCCACGTGTGCCAAAAAAGGTACAACTTTGCACCAATGTGTTGGCGGCATTAGCAGCTATTTGTTGTCGTCATGTAGTCTTGACTGCGCAAGAATGAAATTCGTACACGTGTCGGAACGAGGCATCTGTCGTAAAAGTATAGTGCATATTTTTATAACTAGCCGCTTCGTTTTCCTACCAGTTTAGACAAGTAGTGCGTTCAGCATGTTCTTATGTAAAGTGTAGTCTGAAACTGTGCGTGTTGAGTTGGCTCATAGCAGCGCTTTAGGATGAAATGACATACGGAAGTGCGCGCTGAGACATCGCGTATTCATACTTGTAGCATTATCGAGCACATGCGTTTGTATTTTCAATCTGGCTTTACTTTTATGGAGAAGCTTCTCAAACACTCCATTAGACGTCGAGAACGTAATGCTAGAGAAGCATGTATGAGCTGTAAGCAGTTACTGTACAACACTCTGTCGTGCTGCTAAGTGACAGCAAGATCCGACATAATTCGACAACTAGACCACAGATGAGACTGAGCACTTATATTGCTTCATCTTTCGCGTCGTTGCACTCTGCGCAGCCATATCAAAACCACTGGCACTTGTCGCTGTGACTGGTGAACAATGTACCGTGAAGCCGCGTTCCGACACTACCACCCACCTGATCGATACTACATAACGTGAAAATACGTCCGCTGCACGACCGTGCATTCGTAAATCAACCGTGAATCATAGTGACCGTCATTTTCACATTGTGGAAAATGCATCGCACCTAGATAGAGGCATTTCATTGCGCTCGGACCGTAGAAGTCGTACCCTTTTTGAACCAGGAACAGCAGTGCATGTACAGATGCGAATAAACGACTGACAACGGGCACAAACAAGTAATCCAAACGTTTTACAAGAACTTTTCCGTATCAACGTTCGGCTTCCTACGGTTCAGCAGGCGCTTGCGTGAGTGGTAGTTGTCCTGGTGGTGTTCCCGCTCAGGTTGCTCTTGACTTGTGCCGTCTTCATGCAGGAGAGCACGCTGCTCAGCATGACTGGGCAGCATAAGATGCGACGGCACATCTTTCATGATTCCCCTGGCGCGTATGTTCATCCACTTGCGGAAATTCCAGTACGGCGCTCGCTCGGGCAGCTCCAGTGCGATGCGCAGCGCATTGTGCCAGTCAAGGCGGCTGAGGCGCTTGTTCATCTGCATCATTTGCATCGTGAGTCGTACCGCCTCGCGCGGATTCTTGCGTTTCTCGTCGTAGAATTCAATGGCCTCGCGGTAGCACATGGTCGTCTTTTCCATGCGCTTCGCATTCTTCTGCAGCATTTGCACAGCAGTCTCAACAGCACCGCCGCGAATGTAAGCCAAGATCAAGCACTGATAAGTCACTGTGTCCCACTTCATTCCCTGCTTTTTCATCTCGTTGGCCAGCGAGTGGATCTTCTCCAGTTGATTCGTCCCCAGCAGCGCAATGAGCGCCGCATTGTACGCGAAAAAGTTGGGCTGATCGTCTTCGCTCTCGCGCGCTTTGTACTTGTAGAAGATCTCCAATCCCTGCAGCTTGTGCTCCTCACTCTCAGACTTGGCGTGGCCCATTACCACAGAACCGAGGTACACGCCACGCAGACTTTCGCGAAGGTCGTCGGGCATGGAGCCATACACTTCCACGACCGTGTCCCACTGCTTGCCCTTGGCGCACGCTGAGAACACTGAGTTGTAGATCGTGGCCGTTGGTTCAAACCCGTTCGTCCGCATCATGTTCATCGCATCGAGTGCGAGCTCCCAGTTGCCCGTCTTGCCCGCGCAAATGGCAAGCGAGTGGTACGTCGACTGCGTCATCGTCAACTGCTGCTCGTGGATCGCGCGTAGCACACCTACGGCACTGTGCACGTCGGCTGCACGGGCACAGCTGTTGAGGATGTTGTTGTAAATGACAATGTTCATCTCCAGTCGGTGTTTGATCATATCGTCAAAGATCTCGAGCACAAGTTCGTGCTGGTCCGACTTGAGCGCCGACGACAGTGCGTGCGAGTACGTCACAGTCTGTGGGAGGTACCCGTCGTTCCGCATGACTTCAAACACCCGCAGCGCGTGTCCAAACTGCTCCTCCCTATAGCAGCAGCCAATTGCACTCGAGTACGACTGGATACGCGGCCGGATGCCCTGCTCACGCGCGTACGCCAGCACCTTCATGCAGTCCTGGACGCAGTTCCGTGCGCCCAGTACTTCCACGAGGAACGACGCCACTTCGAGCGCCAGTCCTCGTCCGTTTGACTGCTGGATCTCGTGGAAAATGTCCAGTGCCGTGCGCCACGCAGCCGATCCGTCGGTCGTGTCCAGCGCCTCTTCAAGCCGCGTCATGTACTCGTCCTCCAGTCGTTCGCTTTGAATGAGTCTCGTGTCTCGCGGCTGGTTCGCCTCGCAGCTTTGTTTTCCGTCGTGGTCGTTTGTTTTGTCGTGGCGTTGTTTACTGTCGCGATCTTGTGACTGGTCCCGACTCTTTTCTGCGCCCTCCTCGTCCTCCTCCTCCTCCAACGCCGTCGCTGTAGCACTGGACTGAGCAAACGACCGAGCGCCGAGTCCACTCGACGTCGGCATCAACGCAAACGTCCGCAGGTGGTTTCCCCTTGCGTGCCATGACTTGGAGCTCGGTGTTGCCTCGTCTGTTGCCGCATGCAGCGCACGGAACGAGGCACTGGGCGCTATTGTCAATGACTTCATCTTCTCCGCCTCTTTGGCGGTTGCACGCCAGAGATAGCCACGACGCGAGCACGCGCGTCCGCCCTGCGCCAGCATTGGATACGTCTGCGCGTCAGTCAGTCGGTCGCTCGTTCGGTCGCTTGCTCGCTCGCAGCGTTCGAATGACAGGCTGGTACAAAGCCCGGCTGAGAATCGGCACCGATCCTAGTCTAGGCTGCCAAATCATCGAAACTCGCGGGCCCAAAAGCAACCCCTAATCCCTCGATTCCGCATTGACCTACCCTTCCGCAACAACAACAACAACAGCGACAACAGAAACAACGACAGAAACAAGCAGAACAGATCTGGCCACGAGGAGAAGACGAGGCCGAAGCAACGGAAGCTCATTGCGCGCTCGCCATGGGAAACATGATGAGCATGGGGAGCAGTCCGGCCGCGGCAGCAGACGACGCCAGCGTGCTGGACCTCTACGTCGCTCGGCTGTCGGACGCCGAGATCGAGCGCTACACGGACGGCTATCGCCGCATCTGCCGCGTGCAAGCCAGCAGCTCCTCGTCCAGCGCGCACCCGTCCTTTCTGCACGGCGCAAGCGATCCGAACAACAGCAGCAGCAGCGGTAGCAGTAGCACTGCACCACGAGACGCCGCTGCACATACCGAAGCCAGCAACAAGGCGCCTCTGCTAGGGAAGAAGCTGTTCCGAAACAAGGTGCTGGGCGCGTTCACGATGATCCCGTACTCGCTTTCCGACCGTCTGTTTGAAGTGCTCGACACGGAACGCTCGGGACAGCTCAGTCTCAAGAACGTGCTCAGTGGCTTGGCGTGGCTCAAACACGGCACAACGGACGAGCGTGTGCAGCTGCTGTTCATCATTTACGACCTCGAGCGGGTTGGAGAGGTCTCGCGCGACGTGTTGGACCGGTTCATGGACGTCATTTACGGCCGCGAGCGGGCGCGACGGTACTCGACGGTCGAGTTTCTCGACCGCGTCATGGACGGTCGAGCTGCTCTGAATTTCCACGAGTTCCGGCGGATTGTCCGCGAAAAGGACGGACTCGGCGACGCTTTGCTGGTCAAGTGGCTGACTGTGCTGGCTGCTAAAATTGGCGCTACAGACGATCCCGAGATCGTGGCGCTCGAGCAGACGTATGATCCCGTGTTTTTGCGGCAACGCATTGCGCGAACAACTGCGTTCTCGCTGGCAGAAGTTGCGGCGCTGGAAGCACATTGCTACAAGACATTTGAAGCAAAAGGAGGGGCGAGTTTGAGGATACCGAGTCGGCAATTTGTAGACGTGCTGAGTGCCAATGGACTGTTTCCGAAGGAAGTGCTTGAGCGATTTGGGACCTGCACAGCCATGCCAAACGTTGTGCAGTTTGAAGAGTTGTGTCGATTCCTGTCGGATTTCTGTCGAGGGGTTTTGGACAACGATAAGGTGCACCATCTTTTTCGTCTTTATAGTGATCGGAGCACGACGAGAGAGAGAGTGGACTTTGGCGCTGTGAAGGAACTTATCCATGTGGGTGTGAGCTGCGATACGAGTTGCTCGAATGTTGAGGTGAAACGAGAAGAAGAACGACAGCTCCAAGAGGTAGGACCGTCATGTTTAGTGACCGCTATGTCAAAGTGACAAGCTCCATGCTGACGTGGATCTTCTCTGCAGGTTTCAGCATCGCCGACAGTGGAGGCGGGATGGGACCAAGAAGCATTTACAAGTTGGGCAATCGATGCAGTCGCGGTACGGCGGCTGCTCCATCAGCTGGCGTTTGCAGCGTGCGTGCTATTTGATCTGAAGCCAGAGGCAGCCGCTGTCGAAGGCCGAATTGTGGAGTGGCACTGGCGAGAAGCTACGCACAGCTTTGGCATCGGACAAGTGCGTTGTTTTGTTTTGGGGGTAGTCACCGTCCCCGCTCGTTGACCCACGCAGATGCATGCTATGTACCGTTTTGTCTGCTTAGATCTGGAACTTGCTGGGAGCCGAGTGGTGGCGAAAGTGGTGTGACTACGCTGACATGGATCCGAGAAACGGGAGCCCGTACGGTTCATTACCTGTACCGTCGATCCCGCCTAACGTTGTTGTAGAAGCTGCCAAGAATATTCGGGGCAATATTGCATTACGGGTCACCAGCTCCAAGAAAAGCGTTGATAGCAGTCGCCCACCCCGACCTGGACCAATCACTAATTGGAGTCTTCTCATGCAGAGCGGATGCCGAAGGCTGAAGCAGAATTTGGTGTTGGCGCGTGACTTTTACGTAAGTGCCCTCTGTGTATGCCAAGAACATCGTATACACTTTTCCTGATCCAACGCTTTATGCTGGTAGATGGTTCCGTCGTCAGTTTATACCGTTTTGCTCTCGTGGTACAGTGGGGGACCTGACTTGGCACGCTCTACCATAAAGGTTCCCACAAGTACGGAACTCGAGCTTCAAGTCGAGTTATTTCCGTTAGTGCTACGTATTGCCCGCGTGGATTCTACGAACGGAAGTGTGATTCGATCAGGAGAAGAGGTTTTGCTTAGCGATTTGAGCACACCATCCAGCCTTCTCGAGGCCACCTGCCGCGCTCTGCTTTTGGCAAAGCTAGTGGACAAAGCACGATTGTGGTACTTTAACGAGAAATCACCAGAACGCAAGATACGCTTGCGCGACGAGTGCTCACAGGAGCTGAAAAAGCTGACGCAAGACAGTGTTTTCCTGCTCGAGATCCAAGAGGACGATGGATCGTGGCCACTTTCCGAAGCCGATGACGTGATCATATCTTCGTCTTCCGACACCAGTGGCCGTCGATCAACGAAAAAGAATGGAAACGGTCGAACAAGTGAAAACGATGCAGGGGCTGTTTTGCGGAAACGACAACGAGAGCACCGGCCATCGTCACGCACGTCTGATATATGTTCCCGCGGCAACTTGGGAGAGGTGCTGGCTCAGCGTGGTGCGTATGACTGTCGAAATTGTCGGCAGTGTTACAATACTGACGAGCTCATGCATGCACTGTATAGGACCTGAGAGTGATGTGGATTCTCCGACAGTAGAAGTGGATCCCGTGCCCGTGTCTTCTGTCGTAAAGAAACGTTTTTCGGAGGACGCGTTCAAAGGTCCGGGTTTGGTTGGTCTCGACAACCTTGGCAACACGTGCTACATGAGTAGCGCTTTGCAGTGTTTGAGCCACACGCGGCTGCTGGTTGAGTACTTTAAGAACGAGGCGTATCTCAACGACATTAATCTACGAAATCGTGATGGCACGAATGGAAAATTGACTGCAGCATTTGGTGAATTGCTCCGAGTTCTTTGGAGTCCCGACCGCAAACGTTTTGCTCCAAACGAGTTTAAAAAAGTGCTTGCAAAGTGCAGCCCGCAGTTTGCGGGTTCGAATCAGCACGATTCGCAAGAACTGCTTGCGTGCTTGTTGAGCAGCCTTAGTGAAGATCTAAATCGTGTGGTGAAGAAAACTTACACCGAGCAGCCCGATAGCGACGGGCGGCTGGATGCTTTGGTGGCAGAAGAGTGGTGGCAGAACCACCAGAGACGTGAGCTGTCCGTGATTGTCGCACTATTTACTGGCCAGTATAAGAGTATGTTGCAGTGCTCAATTTGCCGGTACGAGTCGGCCCGATTCGAGCCATTTACTTTCCTGCAGCTGTCACTACCCGAAAGCAACTTGCGGTCAATTGTGCTGACGATATTCTTCCGGACTGATCGCGTGCCATTGCGCTTTTCGGTGCGAGTGCAAAAAGGTGGTACAGTCCAACAGATAAAAGAGCAGGTCGCTGCGTTTTTGACGAAAGCAGATGACAAAGCTTTGGTCTCTGATGTTGTGGACGATCAACTAAGCAGCGCAGCTGTATCTGATGGCGGCGGCAGGTGGAAAAATGTGGTCATCGCGCGGACCTCAAATTTGCGTATTGTGGAATCGCTTTTGGATGATAAGCTACCACTGACACAGATTCGTGAGAAAGACGAGTTGAGTGCGTTTGAACTTGATCCCGATAGCGACTTGTTTGCTCCACAAGATGTTGCCGGATCCACATGTGCCTTGGGCAACTTGGCGAATGATGCTATCGACCCAGCAACGCGTGTGAACGAATTAAGTGTCGTAGAAGCAGCGAAGGGCACTTCCGAAGGCTTAACGAAGGAGAACACCGAAGAACTTGACAATGAGGGTTTCACCTACGGATCCGTATTTGCGAATGCGAGTGGAGAAGATCGAAGTGTAGCTGACGACGTGGGCGATAAGCAAGAAGATGAGCTGTTGCCCTCAGGAACCTCTGTCTACGTTTGCGTTGACAAAACGAAGGCTGCAGTGGCAGCGCGCGTGACTGGGAGCAGTGCAAAGTCGGGCACAGTCAATGTCGCGTATCCCTCAGGCGCTCGACGGTATCACATTCCGTATTCGAAAGTGATTGAACGTGGTCAAAACGATGCATTTGTATATCTGGTGCATCGCTGCGTCGATCGGTCGAGTGACAGTTTTACAAATGCGCATACCACGCGACTGTTTGGCGCGCCATTGGTCATTCGCGTATCTCTCCGATCAACGACGGCCTACAAGCTCTATCTGCTTGTCTGGAATCGTTTGCGGCGAATATTTAATTGGCACCAACCCCCGCTCCCGTCCGATATTACAGCCGATAAGCACGGTCAGAAGCGAGTTCGAACAGACGCGTCTATTTTGGCCCTCGGAAAGCACCTTCCTTTAACAAAGTTTGGATTTTGCTTGCGGCTTGTCACGTCGCATGGAACAGGGTGCTCTCGCTGTGAGTGGATTGACGGGTGTTTGGGATGTGTGCTGTTGCCGTCTTCGCAGACATTAGTTCCGCTTGCAGCCGAGGAAACGGTGGCTATCGATTGGGACATCCGTACCCTCAAGAAGGAATACGACCCGATTCAAGCAAGTAAAATAGATTGTGATGCGTCCGTTCAGCGGCATCAGCGACAAGACAATCAGCCTCTTAATCTGGCACACTGTATGGAGATGTTTACAGCGAAGGAAACTATTCCCGAGGCTTATTGTGGCCACTGCAAGACCTTGCGGCCTGCTACGAAGAAGATGGATTTATGGCGTCTACCGCCATTGCTTGTCATTCAACTGAAGCGCTTTTGTTTTACTCAAGTATCACGACGAAAGTTGCACCACCTCGTGGACTTTCCGCTGAAAGGCTTGCAGTTTGGCGAATACGTCGCCCAAAAGCGTGATCCATGCAGTCGATTGGCAGGCCTCGAATATTGGTTGTTTTTGGGTGGCAAGCTCAAGGCAGGAGTAGACACCGAGAATTTTAAGATCTCACCGGTCGGTGGAAGCTTAACGCAAGCACGATCGGTGTCCCCAAGGCGATTGTCGTCGTCGGTACTTGATGCCCCCGCTGCTGCAACGGCTGCAGTACGTGGGGACGACAGGTTTCTCTACGACTTGTATGCTGTTGTAAATCATGTGGGTGCTTTGGGAGGAGGACACTACTTTGCTTACGTGCTAAGCGATCACGACGGAAAGTGGAAATGCTTCAATGACCATCAATGTAAGGACATTGACGAGAAGGAGGTTGTGTCTTCGATGGCGTACATTTTATTTTACCGCCGCCGGGACACGGCTCACTTGTCAATCGAGCAACTCTTTCCGCCTTTACCGAAAGCCACGTCGGAGAATGGACCAACTACCGGCGAGGAGGCTGCAAGCAATAAAGCACAGGTGGAGGAGTTGCTACGACGGTCGAAGTTGACTGCTTCGGACAATGTGAGCAATTGCATTCTTAGTTGAAACATGAAAAATATGAGTAAAAGAGGTTTGCCAACATTGACCGTAGGGGCGCTGCTGCTCTGTGCTCTGTCGGTTGACTAACATCATCACCATTGACAATACGTACTCAACGGCCGTGGTGCAGAGAGCGGGCCACGACCACGAACTATTGAATAAACGGCAGTGACGAACTGCGTTTTCTCGTAAAGGTCAGACTTGTCCCAAGCGCGTCCGAATCTCGCACCTTTGTCCTGCAAGACCAGTTTCGATTTGCCAATGAAGTGCTCGAGCACATGTCCGCAGCTGTCTTCACCGGAAGACCCAAACAATCCGGATGTCGTGTCGTCCGAGGCATCGCACGACACGCATCTCGGCCGAGCACAGACAGACAACACACCCTCAGGTGCAAGTACCGGGATGTCGAGAGAAGACGAGAGTGATTGCGCTGGCGCTGAGAGCGGGCAGCGTTCACGCAAACGGCAAAAGTCCGAGCCAAATGAGTACGAAGCGCAAATTAAAAAGCTACAACAGGATGTTGCCGAAGTGAAGGAGAGGCTGCATTCGATGAGCAATCAGTCCTCAACAAACACGGCGTATGAGCTGGTAAAAAAATGTGTAGAGGCAAAACAAAAGGCAGCCACGATGAGGAGGAAGCTTGCACAACACAATCACTGGCTGCAACGAGTCAGTAGCTTGATGGAGACAGCACCACTTTTTGACTACGGTGTCGTCGACACGAGTGGAGTGCAGGCTGACGAAACGAAGCAGGATACGACGTCGCATCGAAGTTTGAAGGCACTGGACGAGTCGCACGGACAACCCAGGAGAAAGCTCCACCCTCGACTGCTCTTTGGCGAGCGCCTGCATGCCGCAGTGGTGGTTTCCCAGGAAAACGTGTCGAAACTGTTGCAGGATGCGACGAGTAAGGCTCAATCGTTTCACCTGTCGTTAGAATTTGAATCACATGGATGGGAAATAGCAACGGGGACTCTCGTGAGCGATCACATGGGCTTTTGTTGTCATCGCTTGCTAAGTGGTGGCGCGGACGACAAGACGAAAGATGTAGCGACTGCGTTGTGGAACTTCGTGGAGTGCGATGAAATTTTCCGAACATTTGTGCCGCTCGTTCAAGCCTCAATCACGACTTACCAAGAAACGAACTGCTCTTTGTCATGTAGAGTGATACAACTTTCCCAGGAAATGAAGCAGCAAGCGGTCGCAACTATCGAGTCGATCCGGTCGACCCGCGATAATACTGGACAAGAGAATGTTTGGCAGATTTCCATGGAGGCAGTGCACGATCACTTTCTGTGCACATTTGTGGCAGATGCGTCCGCGGATGCTGCCATGCCGAACAGTGCTCCACCTGTCAAGCTTGACCTGGGACTCCAAATGAGCAAAGTTAACATGCACAACAAGTTTATACTGGGTGCACGGGTGACTAAAGTGGATGAGGGGGTAGACATCTTGATTGCAGGCTCGGCGCGGTTCGACCTTCCGTGCTATAGCGATCCGGCCTTTGACTTGCTCCAGCACTTTGTGTCGCACTTGCCTGTGTACGAAGATCTTTATTTAACACCGCTAAACGATAGTCAAGCGTCTGACGTACACGAGATGTAAGTCAATCCATAAGCTCCAATGGTTTCCTCCTTCCTTGCTTGTGCCTCTCGACGTAGGTAGTGTGCGTGCTCGTCTAATCCGTCCCTGACCGCCGTTTGCCTTTTCGATTTGTCAGCTCCGAAAAGATCTTCTCGTCATCTTTACCGAGCCCAAGCGATGAGGCAGCGAGGATAGTGGTTGGAGACAGGAGAGGTGCGATCATCGAATTCGTCAACTCGGCCAACGTTTGCGATAGCCACGCCAAGATGACGTGCATGATATCGTGGTGTAGCTCGCTCAAATCGGCAAGATCCTTGGCAGCAATTTTAAAAAGCGTGCATCGGCCAACCGCTGAAAATGAATCGCGTGCAGTTGCGTTGGGTACAAACGCCTGGTCAAACAACATTGTGCAACGTGTTAGCATGCGGAAATAGTTTACAACCCGCCGCGAATGCCCATTTACCTCTGCTCCAAAACAAGCGCCGTGATGGAGTTTGGCTGAAGCGGGCACAGCCAGTTCCGAGTCAGCGCCCCATTCACCCTGCAAATGCGTCATCTCAATTGTGCCGTCAACGATGACGTACACAAACTCCACCTTTGCGTCACTGGAATAGAGCAGGTCACCGTGCCGAAGTACCACGACTCGGGATACCTGAGCTACCAGCGCGACCTTGTCGTCGTCTAAATCTCGCATCAAGTGAGATGCCTTCAAGTGGATTGACTTCTCAAACGTCGTATAGACGGCAGGGTCGGAGAGCATGAGCAATCCTCTTAGTGCTGGCGTGCCGTAGCTCGACCTCCGTTGTTTCAGTTGCGAGTCGCAAAAGCTACGGTGCCTTGCTCTGTCTCCTGGCGCCGATGATGGTACTGTGTGTGGTGTAGTCCGCGATCGGCCAACGTTATATAGAAACGATTTAGTTGCCCGGTCGACATAGAGCGCTGCCTTCATATGCGATGTTATCGACTCCGTCATCTTGAGCATCCGGCGGTCTGCATCAGTATTCCAACGCGTCATCGCCGTGGTCAGTGAACCCCTTCGGTCACGAAGAGGAAGGCTGCCCGATTGAGCAATGGCGCCAAGCGGCTGAGCGAACAGACAACGTTAGCCAAGATGTTGATCCACACGAAGCGACAACTACTGTTCGATCGAACCTCAAGGTAGAGCAGCCGAAGCGATGAGGCCACCGCTTTCAGCACGCCTCTGGATACTTGTGGTGTTTCCCTTATCAAGGAGTCGAGATCTCCCCGCGATATGCTAAGGAGGACGCAGTCTTCCATCGCCGTAGCGGAGGAGATATGGGTTCCAGCATAGAGCGAGTGTCGCATCAGGGCAGCTTGACCAATGCATGCACCGAATCCTAGCTCTGCTAAAATTCGTTGCTGCTTGTGGAGCTGGACAGTGCCCTTGGCAACAACGTACATGGCTGAAGCTGGATCATGTACAGATAAGCACATTGACGCATGCCGACAGCAGGACAAAAGACAGGCTACGCAAGCTCTCAATCTCACCGACTTGACCCTCGACTGCAAACGTGTCTCGACGTTCCACAGCAATCGGAACAAAACGATGCGATATGACTCGCAGAATATTAGTCGCGCAAATGTTCTCGAACAGCGATGACGCGCGAAGACAGTTTGCGACCTGCAGTCAGAGTTAATGCTCGACTCATTCGATTCGATTGTAACAGCACGTCACACGTACCGCGATTCTGGAAAGTAGCGGAGGCTTGCAATCTTTCAGAACGGCAAGAGACTCGTACGCGAGGACATCGGGACGGCTGGCAAGATGTAGCAAGTAGCTTTTAGCACCCTGGGGCACATAACTGAGCCAAGTAAATGGCGAAATACGGATCGTACCTGTGATAGGTCTCAACCAACAGCTCCTTCGTTAGCTCGTGGTGAAGCAGACTTGGCACTACATAGTCTAAAAATGTCAGTTTTGCTCCATCATCGAGGTGTTCAGCATGATCTGCAGCCACATGGAGAAAGTACTGGAGAGCGAGAGCTGACAGCTCCAGATTTATTTCCTGCTGCTTCATGACATCCAGCAAGATGTCGACTCCACCTTTCTCCCCAAACAATTCTACAACGCTTTGCGTCATCTGTGCACACGATAGGTCAAATCATGCAGCAGCAAAAGAAACGCTTGTGAACAGACCTTTGATGCAGCGTTCGTGGTTGACAGTTTTGGAAACAGCAAAGGGAGCACTAGTCCTTTGTACGACGAAGGAAGCAAATTCTCAAGCACTTCCTGCAGATTGTGACGCGTTAAAGCTAGAACATATCGAGGTGAGACACAATGTAGCACGATACCTGAATGGCAGAATGCACTTCGCCCAGATCCGACCGCAAGCCTTCGAGAAGTACAGCAACATCGAACTCTTTTGGAAATCCAGTCGAAAGTAGCTTCAGCAGTAGCCGAAGCGTGTCCTTTAGACTATGTTCAACGTGCTGTAGCAACAGTGGGGACGTTTCCTCAACATTCGTCGCCGTTCGTTGGCAAATCTGGAAAAAGAGGTCGAGAACATGGCGCATTTTGTGCGCCTCGCGGATCTTCAAACTGAGCGCGTAGTGAATGGGCTCCATCTTCTGCGCAGACGTACTCATCGCCTTCTCGTCCATCGATCCGATCTAGACATCGATCATGCTCACACATGAATTATGACCCATCAAATGATTGGCACAGCAGCATTGCGTACCAGTGTTAGCAGAGCGTCCACGACTAGCTCATCCATGACCGTATCGTTCTCAAACAGGTTGTGCAAAACGTCCGCGTGGCTAGCCTCCTCTTTCGGCAAGTCGGGTGCCACCATTATCGCCTCAAACAAGTGCATCAGGAAGTCTAGTTTGTCTTCAACCGGAAAATTGGCACTGTCAAGAACTTTGAGTGCACCGGCTAGCCCCTCTCTCTTGTTATGGATCTGGCCCGAAGCTGACGCATTGCTCACAGAATACGTGGGTAGTTGTAACATCGCTTCCGTGTATTGGCACAGCGGTTTCCACAAGGCAGCTGGCTCAAAGCCCTTCAAAGCTGTTACAATTTGGGCGCATATCACTGGGTTTGAAAGGTGCTTCATCAGGGCCGGGATAAGCATCCTAGAGTTGCGAGAGCTGTTTGAGCAACACTGGACAGCTGCCTCGACAATTCGAGTCGACAAGTGGTGAAGCAAGTACACCAGAAAGCCATCACCGAGCAGCTCTGGTACCTCTCTACCAATGATCTTTAAGCCAACCACTCGCACCTCCGGAACCTGAAAACATGAACATCATTGTAAAAACTTGTGACGCAAGATTGTCAGTCACAGTAGACCCACCCTTTCTTCGTGAAGCAGTCGCTGGAGAATGACATTCGATTCTTCATCCATCCAGTCCGATAGACGCAGCAAAGCCACCGCAGCACATACCACCATAGATTTGTCCGTTTCGCCGCTATGTAGCAGCTTGCGAAGCATCTCGAAGCACTGGTCTACGCTCAAGCTAAATCTTTCGTAGCCGCATGCCAGGATTGCTGCAACTCGTACCTGGCGTGGTGCTGCAACCGATTTGTCTTTGACAAGCATCATAAGGTCCATTGTGTCAAAGATCTCGGCGGGAAACGCGCTTGCGTCTGGGAGCAAGTACGATTCTTGTGCATTCAGCACAAACTCTCGCTTTGCTGCCGTATGGATGTTCAGTATGCGCAGCTTTGTGTGCATCGGCGTGAGGGATACATCATCGTCGGTTTTCTTGTAAAAAAGTGCTCGAAGTTCCTACAGGAAGAACGGATGTCAGCACGATTGCATGCCCTCGTAAGCCAACGCCATAGCACCTATCACCCGAGAAAAGAGGCCGATATGCACGTGAGATAACGAGCTCAACACGAAGTTGGCTTGTTGCTGCTCTCCCTTCACCAGCATTTCCTTCACCAACACGATCTACGTCCGAACCAAGAAAACGGCAATTCAGAACCGCAGTCGATGATACAATGTAGCGTTGACCTTTGTCAGCTTGTACCTGGTCCGGTGTAAAGTCAATGAAGGGCGATGTCAAATCCAGATACCCCTGTCGCAACGAAGCGTAGAACTCTGATGTGTACGACCGCCTCGCTACTAAGGCGGCAACAAACGATGCTGCTGACGTCGCAATCATTATGGTGCTGAGTCACACACAAGTGTCAGTGAAACGTTTTCGAGTACGTCAACAGGGCTTCGACACCTCTTTTACCTTGAGGAAGATGGCCCGATATATTGCGTCACCAACTTTGCTCTCAGAAACATCGAAAGCATTGCGCCGACAATACGGGATACCGAGCGAAACGGGCCGCATACAAAGTTCTGGAAACGACTCCGCTCCATCTCATTTAGTGGCAGCCACAGCAATTGTCTTGCTGGATTAAAGATTGCCTGCGATACGGCGTTGTACAGTGCTCGTGTGAAGATCAACAAGTAGACTGACTATTCACATCAACGCGGGCGACAGTTTTATACCAAGAAAGTCAGCAACATATACCACAGCAGAAGCCATACAACACAGCAGGTTTGTTATGGGCCACACCGTCGACATCGAAGTGGAGGCTCCGAACAACAATATGGTCACTGGTAGCATCGCAATGCCGTACATGACGCCAAAACGCGTGAAGAACGATCCCGACGCTAGTTGCATCGGAATCATGAAAAAACTTTGCAGTCCATTGATCATTGACAACGAGGCCTGCACTTCTTCTTCCGGCTGCAACGATAACACCGACAGCGTTGTATTGTCTACCAGCACCCGCATAACTGTTGCTACCATGTCAAAGAGGCAGATGTACTGCACGTACGTCCTCGCCTGGATATCGCGTACAATCGCCATCGACGACAGCGAAGGTGCTGACTCTCGACTCGGAGCCTGGCAGCTCTTTTTCTCTGCTCCACCACCACGTCGTGCCGCGTTCATTGCTGTAAAGCGTTCAGCCGAGACAAGCAAAACGCCCGCAACGAGAAACAGCATCCCAGCCGAAACCAGCAAGTTGAACTCGGTCGACAAACGTCGGCCTTGAAGTGCTGGCAGGACCACGAAACTCGCCAGTAGCGTGCCAAACGTCGACCCGAACGTAATTACGCCAAACCACTTTTTCGACTCAGCCACGTCAAACGCTTTGGCACATAGATCCCAAAATTGCTGCGTCAGCCATTGGATCGCCACTTCCAGCCACAAGTAAATCAGCACAGAGGTCGCTCGAGCCAATGAGGGCGCAGCGAGAGACAACGCACTTAGCGCTAGTAGCCCCGAGGCTAAAACCATCGGACTGATGGCGTAGAGGACGCCAGGACGAACACGACGGGCGATCAACGTGGCCATTAGCTGCGTCGCTGCCGTCAGCGCGTACGCTGTGGTCAGCGACAGCGCCAACGTGAGTGCCGCGACACTGGAAGCCGCGTAGGACCGGAGGAAAATGGCGTCGCGAGAGATGGCGCCAAGTACGTTGGCGCAGCATTGCAGCGTCCAGAGCGCACCGAAGAACCCCACCCGCCGGACCACCTCCAGGTCAAACATTGATGCGGCGGGAGTGTTTTAGTGTCTGTCGAGGCGCAACAATGTGTCGTCCAATGGTGGGGATTTTATTGTGGATGATCGATTAATCCATTTGAAAACAAAGCGATTTGTCGAGATAAAAAGTGGTGGTAAGAATGCGTTGGAGGTGTGAAATTCGACGCGGCCTCGGGTCTTTTCGGAAATTCAGCGACTGATTGTAAATCTTTCACTCTGGAGCCCAATGTTTTTCATGATTATCGTGATATATCACAGACGGTGTGAGTAGAGTGGCCGCCCTCTTCGAGCGCCGAGTGTTAGATTGAAAACGTGCTAAGCGTCCACAGCCATTAGCGCGACGACAATAGAGTGGAACATAAGTAATATTAGATGCAGTAGCTATATAGAGGGCAAGCTCATAACCATAAATCTCCAAGGAGGGTTTGAAATTTGGCGCTGTATAGCAATAACCGGCCTGCCAGTGTCAAGCAAGGTCGTCGCTATCCTGAACAGCACGAGAATGAAACCTTTTTTGCTATTTACAGTATGTTGACATGCACATCAACATCAACGTGTAGCAAGTTATAGGACCCTTTTGTGTTGTCGTGCATGATGACGGTGTGAAAAAAAAATTGTCACCATTAGTTTTCGCGACCTAAATTTCACGACAACATTTTGGCATTGCTCAAAGCCGAAATGGACACCAAGCTCTCAATAACGACAACGACGTGCGCAGGTTAATGCCCAAAGCAAAGAAGTTGTGTTTGTATGCACTTGTGTAAAGTAGTTTGAAAGTGAAGTTACATATATGGGATTTTTGCAGAAAAGATGCAGGATACCATCGAACTTCCCAGTACAAACTTAAGAAAGGCCGAGGATAAAAAAAGGAGTATTACGACAGGATATGCGTCGATGTCACTTGTAAACAATGATGTGATTGTACACAACGCCAGACACTCAACCTGCGCTATCGCAAAATATGCACAAAGTGCAAGAAGTTATAAGTTACTCGAGAAGACCGGGCTGTTCAAGATGAAAGCGATAAGAAACAGCGAAGCGGTCATGGGCACTCACCCTCGACCCCTCAGCAAGTTACAAGCGGTCTCCAACATTAATCTGATATGCCATTCTATCCCAAACCCACCAAGATACAACAGGCGCAATACCATAGGCAAGACAAGCGGCAATTGATTAGAAGACTGAAAATAGGCTCCACATCATCGAAGTGTATCAAAAAGCGCGTGTTATGAAAAAGGCTACATGTCTCGTCACGTGGCACGGACTGCCGAAACACGGTTGTATCTTGAATTGAGAGATAAGCATCAGCACGTGGCACATAGACAAGACATGTTACAAGATTAAAAGCCCTGTCGACGCGAAAATCTATTGGGTAGGGCTTGGACGTAAGGCTTATGAAGGTATTACGCCTGATTTATACGGCACGATCACGCGGTCGCTTATGTACTCATATACGTATCAAGAAAGAGATCAAGCAATGAATACAGTAGGATGAGAGTGAGACAGCGGAATGTAATTGGTTTTATTGAAATATCTATATATCACCTTTCATCAAGGCACAACGATTGAGAAATAGGTATCCTCGACAATAGACTTCGTATCTTTAATCTATGGACATAATGTTGTCATGTGTCTTGTTACTGGCTAATGAAAGGGTAGACCGCTGTTTGGATCACGACATTTACAAAAGTAATTGATTGCTATTCGAATCAAACAGTGTACTTAATGTCATTAAAACGCTCAGTTACATCACACGTTCGTCCTGCGCTAGCAAATATGAACTAGATGAAAACGTTGCGTTCATGAAAGGCTAAGTACAGTATAAGGACAAGTAGAAATAGTCTTTTGATCAAAGTTGCTAGCCGTAGATCATCACACATTTTATAACGTTCCGCATTTTATTGGTCTCGATGATAAGCGGCTATTTCAAAACTGGCAGCATGAAGGCCTCACCATTCTCATTAAATGGCGGCTGCTTTGACGCCTTTGGACTGACCGCAGAGCAGGAGACGCATCACACCATACTGTATAAGTTGTTTGATCAGCCATGGGTCCCCTACCTGGTTATTGAAACGGGGTGATCCCGTTTCATGATATTGACACATAAATATGTGAATGTGAATATTATCTTTGCAGATACTGTTCTTGAATATTACTTATAAAAGGTGAAATTCGATAACATCTGCAGTTTGGATAATATCTATGACCAGGTAAATCAATAACGTGTCTAATCAATCATGGGCGCGCGCAATGGGTGGCTAGCAAATAGTTGCAGTTTGCCTTGTTGTGAGAAATAGTCGAGGAAGGGTAAATCGATATTTTGGAAAGAGCTGATCTACAACACATATGGTTTTCTGTGCCTCAAAAATTTACGTCTTCACGTCAGTCTACTTGTTTTCCCTGCACGCACGTGTACATGGGCTACGAGGCGCCCACCTTCGCTGCCATCAGTGTAGGTAGGTTTCTACTGTTGTCAGCATAAACGAGGTGCCCTGTTGCTGAGTCAAGCACACGAGAAATTGGAGCTGCTTTTAAAACGTGTGGTGTGACGGGGCAGCCCGTTACATGGAATTGTCACTTTAAGGAAAGTAACAATAAAGAATATGAAGATGGATATTCTTTGAACAATATCACCAAAGTGGTGATATTGAAGGGTCGACCAAAGAGTCTGTTCATTGGTTGATATCGTGATGATATTAACCCACCAATCGCCGCAAGACGCGCGCAATGAGTGGTGACGAGACGTCACCATACATTCAGTTATATTAGTATAATTAAGTTAAGTCAAACAGAGAGACAGTAGCTAAAAGACTTAATTATATTAATATAACAGTTCTAGCTTTTACCCTTACCTACGCTTCCTCGCTTGCCTTGTGTACGTCTGTCGGGGCACCGATACCCTTGCGTTAAGTTCACGCAAGGGTGTGCCCCGTTACACCTGGTAGCACTTTGTAGTCCTTCCAAGGACCACAACATCCAACATGAACATGTTGGATGATGAAGAGACCTTTCACGCCACGCGTGAAGGGTTTACCCATTTGAGTGACATCGAATGGGGTGCGGTAGAACGAATGAGTTCTACCGTAGGCGAGCTCGCCATTAGCGCCATGTTGGAGTCTCTAGACAGAGACCAACAACATGCCGCTATCGCCAAGTTCATTCAAAATGAACTTGTCGCCGAAAGGGAGAAGGTAGCCTTGCTTCACCAGCAAGGCTCTCAACAGGCCGAGCAGTTGAGAGAACTCGGTGCTCAACAGACAGAGCTGTTGAGACAGCAGCAATTCCATGCTGCTGTGGGCGGGACGGCGCATGCGCGTCGTCCCGAAGTCATGAAGGTTGACATCTCCAAGTACAGTGGAGTCCCGGAGGACTCCCTGTTACTATGGTTTGTCGAACTCGACAGAGCCCTAAGGGCTCGTCGCGTCGAAGATGAGCAAATGAAACTCACATTTGCTCAGACCCACTTGGCAGGGCGTGCCAAAACTTGGGCCCTGGGACTCGAGAGTAGCGACCCAAATGTGTTTAGGTCGCTCGATGACTTCAAGTCCCGGCTCAGACAAACGTTTGAGCCGCCACGGGCTGAGTTCAGGGCTCGTTCAGAGCTCCTGAAACTCAAGCAGGGTAAGCGTGATGTGCACGCTTACGCACAACATATACGACTCCTTGCGAGTAGTATAACTGCTAACCCAGTTCATGAACACACGTTGATTACGGTGTTCATGCAAGGGCTCGCAGAAGGGCCCGTCAGGAGCCACCTGTTCCGCCTTGAGCTGAATACGCTTGAAGAAGCGATATCAGCCGCGGAACAGGAAGACTTTAGCATGAGACAGGCTCATGCTAGCTCAAACTCTTACCGTCCACCGAGACGACAAGAGATCGGAGGTCCAGAACCAATGGACCTCTGCTATGTTGAGAGCGAGAGACCTCGCTCTTCAAACAACAAGCGATTGCAGAGGTGCAATCGCTGTCAGAAGTTAGGGCACTACGCATACGAGTGTAGTGCTCCACGCCCAGTACCAAACAGTACTGAGCGAAATGGACGACCATTCGCCAGAAAGGGCAATGGGCGTGGGTCCAGCGCTGTTGCGAAGCCGCAACAGCGAGACGGACCATCAAAAAATGGTCGGGGTCAGTAGGGGCGGAGCGCCCTACTGATCCAGCAACCTCAAGAGAATTTGCAAATCTCTTGACGAAAGTTGCTCCAGATACACAATCATTGTGTGTCTCTGCACCTGGTGATGACGTTTCGCTCATCACCTTGAAGTTGGAAGCGACAAATGATTTGTCGCTTCGTGCCCTAGTAGACTGTGGGGCGTCGAACAACTTTGTTCGTCGCCAGTCACTAGAGGGTCGTAGGCTCAAGTTCGTTGAGCGCGACATTCCCCTCACAAGGATGACGGTGCGCCTTGCAACAGGCGCATCGATTACCGTTGAGAAACGTGTAGTAGGAATCCACTACACGTTAGAGGGCGAACAGTACGATAATGACTTCATCGTACTAGATCTGGGTGACAAATTTGATGTCATCCTGGGATTACCTTGGCTCAGAAGGTACGAGCCAAGGGTGAGCTGGCAGCATCGATCCGTGAAGATGCCTGCCGCTTGTTCATCAGATGGCCATCTGATGAACATCTTGGAGCGTCCACAAGCGTGTGGATATTCTGCGAGTGAGTGCGATGGCCTCACTTGCGGTTCGGTCGTTCGCACGACCGCACAAGATCACAGTGTAGTTGATCACTACACTGTGGAGCAAGCTCCCGGCGGCTGTACAGAAGTACAGGCTGCGCCGAAGGTCCACCACTCGAATAAGTCGAGTGGACCGGGACATGGATGCATGCCTAGCGGGCAGCATCTTAGAAGAAAGAAACCGGTTGCCTCCAAGGGGCAACATGGAAATCCTAGGTCGACTGGAGAGTCGACCGTAGAGGATCGGTGCCTGACTGTGGTTGCACAGCCACAGTCGGAAGACGTCGAGGGAATAAGTCCCCACGTACTTGAGGAAAGAA